GCTTCACACACTCTGAGTCGAGTCTGTTGAATGTAAGTACCATAGCTTCGTCAAAAGTGATGTTGAAAAAGAAAGGTGATAGCTCGCATCCATTTTTCACAATGCTGGTGATAATAACGACCGACAACAGTTTGCCTTTAGTCCTCGCTATCCGAAATGCGCGCAGAAAGTCGCGTGATTATGTTTACGCCCGCATCAGACACATCTACCCTATTCAGACAGTCACAAAGGGCACATGGTTCCATCGAATGGAAGGCACCTTTGTCAATGAGTAGCACGACTTTGGTTGATGGAGGATAGAAGTGGATGCGCTTCGCTAACTGTCTAAGTTGAAGGTGTCATCAATTCAGCCTGGATTTCAATGAAACCAAGCTTCCTGCTCACGACCTGACTATTACGGTTGCCATTCTGTGAGGAGCGATAGATCGGACTGATCCTTCTTTGACTGCCGCATTCCGAACATGAGACCCCTGAAAACTGAAACAATAATGGAGTAGCGCCAGCCAGTTGGGGCGGTTTCCAGTTCCGCGTTTAAGTCATCTACATGAGTAGGTCACTTGAATGTGAAGAAGACTGAAGGAAGTAAAACCGGTGTTAAGCCTTTATACAACTTCCGCAGTCGCATCTTACATTCGACGTTTGTCGGACAAGAGGTATCAAAGGGTGACTATTGATCGACAGAGATGTCGGTGGTTCAGTTGTTGTGGAGTTCTCCGAGCTGGGCAACTTGGTTGCAGACGTTTCGCCACCATTCGAGGTGGCATCTTCAGTGCGGCATTGATAGCAGTGAAGTAGCAGTAGCCGATAGAAAGCAAACCCATTATTGGGTTTGCTTTATCAGTTATCACAGCAAGACGTACCTGTTGCGAATAAAGCCTGGTGAATATAGGAAGTTATCACCGATTATGTTCAATGAACGCTAACCCAAGTCGGAAGCAAGCATATTTCAATTGCGCTTAAAAATATGCAGATAATCTGCCAGTTCTCAGCGGTCGTCATTAGCTCCAGCGTTGTGAAAAATGGATGCGAGCTGTCACCTTTCTTTTTCAACATCACTTTTGACGAAGCTATGGAACTTACATTCAACAGACTCGACTCAGAGTGTGTGAAGCTGCTTATAGGTGATCGACGACGATATTGTCCTAGCCTGTGATAGCTTACAAATCTGTCAAGCACCGCTGGATAGATTAGCATGAGCTGCGAGTCGATTCAGTGTTTGTTACCCTAATAATGTCCTCCGGGATTGTAAGGCATTAACTCATGCACCAACTCTTGGTGCAGAACGGATGGAAATCGTTTCGCAATGTAACTACCTAGGCAGCTGCATCAGCGCATGTGGAGCATATGACGAGAGCACGATCCGTATAACAAATGATCAGGGTGCATGCGCGGACCAACCTTACAGCTAATGAGGACGCCAGTGCATGCTACTTCAGGCACCGTCAGCACAGAAACTGCTGACATAAAGGAGCTCTGGCGAAAGTACTTCGGCTGTCTCTTGAACAACCGTTCAGAGATTGACTGACCTACGTTGCACCGGCTACAATAACAAGAGATGAGAACGGGCCTCGCCGATACACCGACACTGGATGAGACGCAAATAGCACATGCTCAGCTGTGAAACAGCAAGTGCGCCAGAGCCGACGGGATATCACCGGAAGAGTTGAAACACGGCGGACCCGCGTGTGGTTTGAACGAGTCGGCTTACTTGAAGGATGCCTTTGTGCTACCGCTGTACGAGGGCGAAGGAAGCAAGTAATGTGTTACAAATCATCGTGGTATCAAGTTGCTGAGTTGTGCTGGGAGGATGATTGCACGAATCCGGCCTTAACGCCTCGTCAGTCAGGTCGTTGAACTGCAAATAGTGGAAGAACAATGCAGATTCTTTTCGAGCCGCAGCACCATCGATATGGTGTTAGCGGCTCGTCAGATGCACGAGAAATGCCGAGAGCCACACCAGCCATTGTAATCCCTGTCTGTAGACTTCAGCAAGGCATATGACACGGTGAACCGCGAGGCACTGTGGCTGGTGTTGCGTAAGTTCGGTTGTCCAAATAAGTTGGTAAGTCTAATAGAACGTATGCATATGGTAGGCGGGCGAGAGCGCAGCTGAGTGGACAAACCTCGGATGACTTAGATGTAGTCTCTGTGTGAAGCAAGGCTGTGTCTTAGTCCATCCTCGGTTTAACATTTATCTAAATGCTATTATGTTTTGTCCGCGTGGAATACCGTATTGATGGTGGGTTGCTGAACATCCGTCGTTTCGGGATCAGAACCCTAGTCTGTGAGACAACCATCATTATGTTGCCGTCTGCCGACGAGTGTGCGTCATTTGCACACAGCGCGAATGGGTTGCAGCGCATGACTTTGAGTCGCGCTTCGACAGCGAGCAAATTCGGGCTCACCAACAACACAAGCAAAACTGATTGTCTTTTCCAGCTTTCGCCAAGAGTGGAGTCCGTGGGACTGCCTTAAATCCAGAATGCTGATGACGTGTCTGAGAAGCACCGAAATTTTGCTACCTCGAAAGCGTAATATCAACCACTCCACAGATGACCAGCGAGCTGCGCATCCGCGTATCGAAAGCGGTTGTTGCGTTTCGCAATCTAGAGAAAGGTATTTGGAACAACCACCATCTTACCATTGAAACGAAGCTGATGGTATACAAGTCTATGGTACTGTCAGTTCTTCTATACGGCAGCGAAACGTGGAAGATGTACCGAAAAAAACACTAGATATCTAGAGCAGTTTCATCAAGTGTCTGTGAGAGATTCTGTGCATCGGTTTGTGCGACAGTGATGCAGACACGGAAGTGCTCCGCGACATAGGGATGTATGCGGTGGACGGTATGCTCCTACTGCGGCATTTGACGAGGACACCCAGACAGATTTTGTATGGCCAACTTAGGGCAGGGAAGCGGCGCGTGGGAAAACTGAAGTTGCGTTACCAGGACATGATCAAGGTGAGTTTGTCACGAACTAATGTTGATTTCAAGTGTTGGGAAACAAAAGTAGCTGATCGGTGCGAATGGCGTGAGCTGATCAAGAGCGTGATTGCTCAGGTACAGGAGAAAGCACTTTTATATGCGGAGGAGAAACGCCGGTTATATAAACGACAGGGGTCGATGAAGTCTACCCCATTGATTTCAAGTGCACGGCACCGTAGCATATGCGGTCGCGAGTGTCTCAGCCAAGCGGGCCTAGTAAACCACCAGCGTGGCCAGCATACAAAAGACGACAAGTCAGCTTATTATCTAAGCCTAATCAGTGCAGCGATGGATAAGTACGCTACGTGTTGAGGTTCGTGTATTTCAGAGGTTGATTGTTGATTGATATCCCCGGTTTGACTGCACCGGAGGTGAAGGTTGACAAGGTGCCTACCTGTCCCACCACCTCGTCTATACTGCCTCCATGAGACTGAATCGTTGCTGGGAGGACGGGGTGCACTGTCCTCGTGATGACGCTACGCTCGAAGTGGTTACATGCATCCAGTGTGGGACGGATTACGCCCCAGCCACCGTCTTGTGTACGCATGATTCCTCAATTAGGCTGACTGGAATGCCGCTGCTGTGTCTGTTGAAGGAGTGTGGGCCGGATCCGTTGATAAAACGTGGCTCTCAACGTGGCATGCCTCCCGGTCTTATTCCTTCGGGTTTACACTGGATATGGATGAAGCTGTGGGTGGTGCATCGCAAGCTCCCCATGGTCCCTCTGTAGCCGCAGGCTTCCTGTGACTGTCCCCATAGAGGCCGCAGTGATAAGCAAATCCGAAACCGGATGCCGCTAACAATGTTAAATTCTAGTTAGCTTACAAGTTATGATAGCCTCCCACTGTTCCCCATGGCTCAGAGGCATAAGCTGCTAGTTGGTGGAAGTTGCTAGCGGTTATCAGTTCGGTTCCTGATAGAGCCGAAGGATGCACACGACTTACCAGCCCTGACAGGGTAACACGGCCGTCTGGTGTTTTACTGGATTGGTGGCTAGACTTTCTTGTTTGTGAGTCGCTGGGAGGAACCAGTAAGAGTTCCTCCTACTCATTAGTCATAAAAAATTTGTGTGAGAGGGTTCGTTGTATTGTGTGAGTAAAGTACTAGCAGGTATACCAAGCTTAAACAAGTCCTCGGCCAAGGCCGGTGTCCGAAAGGATTAGGCGCATGTTATGCGATTTGGAGGTCACCGGTTAGAATCTGCGTAGGTGGGGAGGCGGCATGACGGTATACTCGGCCCACAAGCGGTTGACAGCAAGCGTCAGTACGGCGTGCTGGTGTACTGCTGATACCTCGCTTTTTCCTCAACAAGCTTTCGTTCGAAAACATGATTGCTAGACAGATGGAGTTTGGCTGGAGGCTGCAAGGGGTCCGTTGTAAGGAATAGGGGGTCACCGTCATACGAATCCCAAACGTGGAGGATCAGGAGACTAAGGTTGTCTAGCCTCTAACCATTGATCAAGCTGTTATGAGTGGCCCTGGAGATGTAAATGGCACCTTCCAGCATAGCTTGATGGATTATTGAGGTGTCCAACCATCGCACCACAGTAAGGTTCGGACTCATCCCGATGGCGCATTCTCACTGTGATTGGACATGTTATTTCCTCCCAGATAGGAAGGAGGCCATCGACCTGGTGGAAAGCAAACCACATGGTAGTTCATAATGCATAGCACTTGGAAGAAGTAACTCAGTATAGCGCGATCTCAATGCCCTCTGATCCAGCCTCATCACAATGCACTGAGGAAACAAAACGAAGTTTTCCGTGATTCATCCTCAGGTCAAATACAACAGATGAACATAGTTAAGAAAGGGTAGATTGAGTAACCAGAAAATGTAGGTATCGAAATGTATGGAACGAACTTGTTTGTCAAGGCTTTGCCTTTGTCATGGCCAACCGTTGTCCGAGTAGCTTCCGTGTAAACAAATCACACTAACTTTGGGCGTTTTGACACCTCCAATTTCAAGTTATTCAATCCACCACTTACTTAAAATGATGTTAAACAAGAAACGTACCTTGACAGACAATAAGGGTGTCTAAGTCCAATTTCAACGAGGACCAAGCTTCCTGAGCAACGCGTACAAACATGTCGCCGATGATCCGACGTTTGTGTTCCGGATCAATCGTGGACAAGTTAAGTGGCCCGATAGGGATGTTCCGAATCTCACAATGAGTAGTGACGGCGCCTCCGGTATGGCACGGATGTTTGCGAAAAGTATGGTCAGAGAGTTGAGCTGCCGAAACCACGCTTGACTTGCTATCAAGGACTTCATCCAAAGCTGCTGTCTTTTGTTCTCTTCCATCCGACCCAATCGGACTGACAGCGCCTTCGGAGTGGCTCCTAGAGGGCATGATAGTAGCTGGAGCAAGGCATTCCGTTTTGACATGCACCTGGACAGTAGCCATTCCCGATAGGAAGCGAGATGAGGCGTCAATGAGGTGGACTAAATGTGAGTCAACGATAAACAGATCTTACCTTGGATTCCCAATGCATTCAAAGAATCGATGACTGCTTTTGATTCGGTTTTCCGCATGAAACCGTTGTCTATATGGATGGCGACAATCTGAGAAGGATGTAAAGTCTGAGCCAGAACAGCGGCGCACACAGTTGAGTCGACGCCTCCACTGAGTAAAACCTTAAGATGGTAGAAAACAACACGACAGCAAGAGGTGAAAATAAAAAAAACTAGATGGGTTCGTGGCGGCAGAAAATGAAAATGAATAAGATAAAAACAAGCCAAGGCACGAATATAGCATCTGCTTTCTGGAGTTCAGCGTGCCAGCGATTGTGGCTTTCACATAAGCAGTGACAACATCGACCTACCGATTAGCGATCTCACGTAAACGATAACCGCCACAGCCACACAAATGGGTTTTCGGATTCACCTGTTACTGAGACTGCGAACTACCACAGGACGCCTGCGCCTACAGAGAAACCATAAACGATCTGCGCCGCACCACGTAAACACCATATATCCATTGTAAACCTAAAGGTGTATGACTAGGAGACATGTAGATGGAAGCCACGATTGATTCGGAGCAAACCCACAATCTTGCAACATGCGCATCACACGTTTGAACAGCGAAAAAGTCCATACTAAATGTACACAGAGCGGTGGCTGGGTACTAGACCACACCACAATGGATGGAACCACCTTCTGAGCTGAGCAGTCACGATGACTGTGTACTCCGTCTTTAACAGCAAAGATTACCCGTCCCCTATCATCAGTAATCAAGATGGCAGTTTTCAACAGGTAGACATCTGGTCCTACTCTCATCAAGGATATCAAAAAGCAAACACATAGAATGAGAGAGGATAGACACGCATAAGCATGTACCGATTAACAGCAGTGACGAGATAGCTAGAAACCGCGCAGGCTCTACTCCCGTAACTACAGTTTTACACTTCAGCTTTATTTTTATTGTCGTTGTATTGTATTCATCCATACGTTATGGTACTCTGTCAATTATACTGTTGGTTAAGTGTGATATATATATATATATATATATATATATATATATATATATATATATATATATTGGTTGGCGGCAAGAGAGTCCATGGCTCGCTGAGGCTTGTGTGGATAAAATTCAGGTAGATCGCCGACCCACTGCTGCAAACCCTGTGCAGCGGACTTATGTTCAGGACGCCTCCTCGTGGAGACCGCTGGGTGAGCGTTCGTTTAAACGCTTCTTCTAGCTAACAGCCAAAACAGCTTCCGCCTTGGTCGGTCCACTGACTCGTCGCACGGCCCACGGCCTTACAGGAGTACATTTTATTGAAGGCTAGGCCTGAAGACCCGAGTCGTTCTGTTTCAGGTGTGGACGACTTGGCAGTACACGAGCCCAAAACCGAGTTATGAAATACACAAATAATGATAATGTCATGCTACATTGGCCGTCGCGCAGTGGTGGGGAGCGAAAAGAATAGCCTTATCTACTGGATACAGCGGCGTGGATAAACGAAAACAAAATACCATTGACGCCTTCATTCTTGTTCCAGTGCTCATTCATCCCCTCCTTTTCTAAACTAAGCCCTAATTTCTTCCAATCCATGTTCGCATAAAAGCGAAAGACCGGCGTAATCGCTTGCTTTCGAGCAAAACGATCAACAAGGGGTGCTGGAACGTGCGCACGCTTCTCGACGAGAAGTCGAGTCAGCGTCTTGAGCGACGCACCGCACTAGTTGCGATAGGACTCGCGCGTTGCCATATCGATATTGCCGCCCTGTTAGACGCGGCTCGCTGACCACGGAAAGCTGCAATAGGGTGGTACTGGATGCACGTTCAACTGGGGGAGAAACGCCACCACAGCACCACGTGATTATAGGATGGCACTTTCAGTATCCAACTGTTCAAATGGCCACCCGGTGGGAGAGCCGAGCAGCAATAGTCCACGACTGATGACCCATTACCTACGCCTTGGATGTTGCAAGCTCAAAACTTTTATTGACACATGGTCCGGCCATGTGTTATCCTGATGACACGAGGGATCCATTTTACGCTGTTACCCCCGTGATACGGTCTGTGCCGAGGAGCAACCGACTATTCCTATTGGATGATTTTAATACGGGCATTGGGCGTGATGCCGCATTGTGGACAGATGTGATCGGGCCGTACGGTATTGGTTCGGTCAATAGGAACGGTGACCGGCTGCTCACTTTGCGCCACTAAAAGCCTGACGAGCACGAACATACGGTATGTACTGTGCCCGCGTGACTTGGACGCATCTAAAAAAATAATAATAATATGTCAGCTATACACCATAACGGCCCTTCGCTGACGCGCGGCCACCACCAGTTGCGCGTGGGCTGAGTAAACCGCGAGAACGACCGCCTCTACGCGGATTCGAACCGGTGACCTTGTGATTGCAAGTCAGGCGTGCAGACCACTCAGCCACCGGCCGACTTGAATGCATCTACGGTGATCACGCTCACCTGCTCGACTAGGTCATCGTACGCCAGCGAGAAATGCGCGAAGTGCGCATCACAGGTGTATTGCGTGGAGCTGAGTGTGGCACAGATCACAAGTTGGTGCGGACCAAATTGTGCATGTATTTTTGTATTACTCGCCTGTCGTGAATGGGCAATACTGAGAAGAGGATGGAATTGGAGAAGGCAGTGGCTATCCTCCTTGACGACGTCGAATTCACAGCCTCAGTGAACGACCTGTGGCACCACATTAAACAACAGGTGACGGTTGAGGCCGAGGAAACGATCAGGTGCGCAAACTGTAAGCAGCCTGATTGGTTTGATGACAACAGTGCGACCATAGCCGCCGCATTGGTGTCGGAGAAGAATGCAGCATTCACTGCGCATGTGGACGACACTGCAGACTCCGAAAAGGAGAATCAGTATCGCAATCTTCGACGGTGATTAACTACAAGTCAAGTCAAATCAGAATCGGATTTATGAGCTAGACTTGGAACATTTACAGCATTTTAACCAAGCACTGCATTGGCAATGAGTCATAACATTCGCATGAAATTGTAGTCAAAGTCCAGAAATAAAATGGAATATGCACGCTGATAACTTTCGTGGAATCGAAAAGAAAACGGGATAAAAATGGTAATTTGGAGTTATGATAAGACGTGCGAGAAATTAAAAGCATATATTTAGAGCGGGTAGACGCAAAGGAGAGATGTTTGATAAATCATCGTGAAAGAGATAAGAAGGAACAATTTAGACTTGTAATGTCAAGTTGTCACATGCACCAAAATGCTTAGTAACGACGAAACCAAACTGAGACTCTGGGCATTGCACTACACCTGGAAATTAGCTTAATGAAACGCACGATCAATGTGATGTCATTTGGTAGACCAGGAAAAATGGTGAGTAATATAACCAGTGAGGAAGAATATAGGCGGTCACAAATTTATAAATTAAAGAGGAGGATAGTGAACAATTTTTGAGTTTTATGTCTTAAAATGATGATTTGCTCACCTTGCGGAACGTTTCGTTCAAGTGCGTTGACCATGATAGATTCTGAGTTACATATACCGCAAGTTACTTAACGGTGGATGAACTGGCTACATTGCGGTCGCTCACGACAATGGGAGGGGGAGAGAAATGTTTGCTATAGGCAAACGTTTGTTAGTGAGGAGGTAACAGAACGTTACATTGTGGCATTTGGAAGGTTTGCGAATCTAGGATCGGGAAAACGACCACTGCTATAACTCATCCAACCTGCTTTGGATAGCCGTTGATGATTTAGCAGTTGGAACAATGCTGCCTAGAGCTACGTACTCAGTGTACTTACATTCAATAAAATTGGGAGAAATTTGAAGCATCTCCATGTATAAGGAGAATAGAAGGGGAGAAGGAACTCCTCTTTGTAAAACGCCTCAGTCATCAGGAAGAAAGGGGGATTTTTTGCCGTTTAGCTGGGTGAAATGAGAGCGATTTGCAAAGTAGTTACTCCTCACGTTGCATGCCGCTGGTTGAATAACATTCGCAGATAGCTGATTAAGCAAGATTAACCTGTCGACACTTCAAAAAGCGTTGGAGTAATCAAGGAAGTGCAGCCATACAGTCACGCATCAAACGCAAATGCTATTGAGTGAACAAGGTATGCTACGATATCTAGTGTGGAACGTCAGAGTCTGTATGTAAACTGAGATATAAACACGGTCGGAGTGCTTGTTGAGATCTGAGGCACAAGCAACCGCTCGAAGAGTTTAAGCATGACGTGTGTACAGGTGGTCGGACGGAATTTCATGGATCCCTTCTTTGGCACGGGCGCAATCCTAACAGACCTCCAAATGTCAGGAATAATTCTACTGTGTAGGCAGACATTAAAAAGATCCGTCAAGGGCACGGTGAGGGCATCAACAGACCCTTTCAAGACAACTGGTGTAAGAGCATCGAGCCCAATAGCTTTTCTTGAGTTCAAATTAGAGTTCATGGTGTCGGAATGTAATTTTTGGCCAGAGCCACAGAACGATGGCCAAGAAAATGAAGGGGAGGAAGATGCATCCTGTGGGTAAGAAACGAACTCAGAATGGAGTTACTCTATGTCCATAGAACCGAGCTCGACATTGGAACCTCTACCGCATAGCTGCTTTAAAAGCCTCCACAGATCTCGACAGTCGTGGTTGCATAAAAAACGGCTTCAGTCGTGAAATCACAGTTTTATTGCTAGAGTTGCTTGACACGAGCAGTCACTTGACATTTACAGGCCAGTTCTTTTTCCTTCTAAGTTGTTTGAGAGATTGTTAGGAGAGTCTAACTACTCCCAAGCAGATGGGTTCGACCGGGTAGCCCAGATCGGAACAAAAGTTGAGCTAGTCAGTGAATGTTCACATTGAACAGACAGAGCGTTGGTGAAAACTGTACAATCAGTAGAAGTCAGCGTTCCCTGGATTCTCGCATATTGGATGCCGAACAATCTCGTCGCCTCGGCTTTAAAGGGATTAGCAGCCAATGAACCGGAGTGAATAAACGACGGGGCACACCTATGATACAATGATCGGAATTACCGAGTGGTACACGTTTTTGTACGGAAAATAGCCAAGCATAATTTGTGAAGACAAAATCTAATTTCGCTTCTAGTGTGATGGGAAAGGCCACTATGTTAGTCAAATCAAACGCCGGATAAATGTGGTATCGAATTTATTGTAGCCCCCGACGAGGACACAG